TCAGACAAAGGCTTTATTACTAAAATCTACAATGCACTGCTAGCTTCCAAAAAGAAAAAAAACTAATTGCCCACTGAGGAGGTGGCCAAAGGATCTGAACAGATGTTTCACTGTGACAGAAATCTGAATGGCCAACAAACATGAGAAAATGTTCCCAATCTTTAGACATAAGAGAAATGCAAATTAAAACAATGAGATAATACCTAACACACTCAAAGCTAGCCCAATTAAAAAAAATCAGAAAGCAACAAGTGTTGGAGGGGCTGTAGTGAGATAGGAACTCTCATCCACTGCTGGTGGAGTTGTAGATATGCACAGCTATTATGGAAATCGATCTGGCGATATCTACAATTGATGGAAATTGAGCTACCATACGACCTAGCAATGCCCCTACTGGGCATATACCCAGAAGAGGCAAGAAACAAACCACAGCCAAACATCTGTGCTCCAAAGTTCATCATGGCACAGTTCACAATTGCAAGGAGTTGGAAACAATGCCAATTTCCAGCAACTGACAAGTGGATTAAAAAACTGTGGTACATACATACAATGGAGTACTACACATCACTATAAAGCAGTCATAAACGTATAAATCACATCGCCACATGGGAAGAACTGGAGGAAATCATGCTAAGCAAAGTAAGCCAAGCACAAAAGGACAAATACAACATGAGTCTGCTGAGGTAAGCTTAAAAAAATGCAAAAGGGGCATCGGGAAAAAGCTACTGTATACAAATATTTCTGGGGCAAGGACCAGGTAGTATTGTAAGGGCCAGACCAAATCCAGGGATACATATGGTAGCCAACTAAAAAGGAGAGGGGGAAAGAAAAAAAAGAAAAAAGAAATGGGTTGCGAGGAAACAGGGCACTACCCACCCACGTAGAGGATATTGTTTCTATCTCCACAGGGAAATAGGGACCAGACTTCAACTTGGTGCTCCAAGATGTGAATGCAACATGCTGGTATGGAGTAGAGAACCAGTGGAGAGTTCTGAGGGGCCGGTCCCAATCCCAACTATGTGGACAGCTGCCACTCCCCGCAGAAGAATTTATTTCAGAGGACAGCACTGAAGCTGCACCTCAAGGAGAAGGGCATGTCTGATCAGAGCACACAGGAGCAAATGAAGGGGAAAGAATAGAGAGGGGAGCACATCCTGGCCCACCAAGCCCTGAGGATGGTATTCCTGATCAGAGCAGCCAATCCACAGAGAAGACCATATGGCCGGCTCCACTAAGAGACACCACATCCCTCACTGACCAGTAGCCCCACAGGGGACAACACTGGAGACACAGCGTGGGAATTGCACCCGATCTGATCCCACAACATCAAGGCAAAACACTAAGGGTGTACAACAGAACAGCAAGGAGAACAGAGCAACAAAGTCCCCAGGGAATACCAAACATAGACTTTGGGGACAGGGCCCAGCACCCCATCAGACTTGACTGGAAAACACTCTTAGAAACCAACAAACAGTCCTTGAACTAACTACAAGCTTTTCTTTTTTGGTTGTTGTTGTGTTGTGGGTTGTTGTTTTTTGTTATTGACTTTTTGTTGTTTTGTTTTCTTTTGTTGCTCGGTTTTTCTCTGTCTTTTTTGTGTGTGTGCATGTTATTATCTCCTCAGGTCTAAATAAGTTAGGCTACAAGAACAATCTGGAGGAGAAAACAAC